ACCAACTTTCCCGGTAAGCCAGGGTCTGAATCAGCACGGCACGAGGTGAGATGCCCGAAGTGTTACTGTAACTGTACCTTGGAGACTTCCGTCAGTCAGCTTCTCTGGGCTCCCTTTAATCGTCTTTTCCCAAATGACCAGGTTTTAGGAAAAAAAAAATTTACATTTTAGGCCCCAGGACACATCACATGGGACCATCCTGATCCACCCCTGGATCAAGTCTCCCAGGCTCTGTAGCAAACATCTCAGGGTAGATCCACCCCCACCCCAACCCCCCGCCCCAAGTACCGTATTTCCACCAGTCCCATGATTTCTCCTCTCTCACTACAGATCAGAGCAAATGTGATCCCCTTCTAAATGCCCCTCCCCCTTCTGCCAGGCACCACTCACAGTTCACTCAGAATAAAAAAAACAATGAAGAGTCTGGAAGGTATATGCTGAGCATGAGTACTTGGAACCCACTGGGTCACCTGCTGCACCCATTATTTCCATCCCTGGCATCCTATTCCCACTTCTACTCCCCATCCTGAACAACGACAGCTAGAAGCTAGCCTAGAGAGCACTGCCTTATTGTATCCCCTTCTGAAAGATAGATCCACCACCCAGATGTTAACTTGTTGGACTTTCATGACTTGTGGAGCAGAGAGTCACTCATGGTGAATAGGACTCAGTGGAGTTTCCAGGCTAAGACAAACCAGGAAAAGGAAGGACTAGCCAACTACTTCCCACAATCAGCCAAATAAAACCATAGAGATCACAATCTAAGACTGTCCTATGGAGTACTAAAAGATGAACCCCACAGGCGAATACGCACTCAAGACACCAAATGGACACAATAGACTCAAACTTAGCAAACATACAACTACCATGAAGCTGGTGCAAGACTAGGTAACATTGTGGTCTGTTTTAAGTAGGGACACAATGACTTGGAGCTAACTCAACAGCAACTAACAACAATGAAACATGGGCAAGGGGAACCCAGGAGGGTGGAAAGAAAAGGCAAAGGTCACATAGGATTCAAGCTCAGGTCCCATTGCAGAACAGAGGAAACACTACCTCAGTGTCATTAGTCTTGGGGAGGAGACAGCTAAACAGGGCGAGGACAGGGGTGGGGGTGGGAGGGGAGGCGTTTGGATGCAGTAAACTGCTCAAGGTTTTCCAGGCACCTTCCCACAATCAGATAACACCCAGCTGCCAACCAGGGTCAAGAATTCCAAGACTTGATTTCAGGAAGCAAAGTCCAACTCTGGGCAACTGAAGTCAGAAAGGTCAAAGACCCTAGAGCAGCAGTTCTCAACCAGGGGGGCCGAACAACCCTTTCAGAGGGGTCACCTAAGACCATAGGAAAACACAAATATTTCACAATCTATAATTACATATTGTTTTATGATTAATCATGCTTTAATGTTTAATTATATTCAATTTTTAACAATGAAAATATATCCTGCATATCAGATATTTACATTATGATTCATTAACAGTAGCAAAATTAGTTATGAAGTAGCAATGAAAACTATTTTATGGTTGGGGGGGGGTCACCACAACACGAGGCACTGTATGAAAGGGTCGCGGGCACAGTTCAGAAGGTTGAGAACCACTACCCTAGAGACGCAACAACGCAGGCCTTAGAAAACACACACACAAGAAGATATGTACACTGCTTTTCACCCCTATGAACCAGACTTTGTTAAGCTGTTTGTAGAAATAAAAATTATGAAATCTTTCTAAAAAAGTCGTTTTTATTAGGTTTTCAAATATACGTACCTCTTTGATTTCTTTATACCAAAACAAAAACTAAACTCACTGCTACTGAGTCAATTCTGACTCATATAGGGCAGAGTGAACTGCCACTGTGGGTTTCTGAGACTGTAAATTTTTACAAAAGCAGAAAGCCTCATCTTTCTCCCATGGAGTGGCTGCTGGGTTTGAACTGCTGGCCTTGTAGTTGATAATTCAACCAGTAACCCTTTCCTAAATTACAATTTAAAAATTGTTTAAAACTTTAAAAAATCAATAAAGAGAGAAAACAGGGAAACTTGCTCTCAGAATTAAAAAATAGTTTTCAAATATACAAAAGTAGCGAAGTTAAATTACATTTATATGAAGAGGAAGCCACTTAAAATAAAGCATTTTGGAAATGCTCACAATATAACTATTTTCAGTAAAGCTTAAGAGTGCAATCTAATATTGTTACTCATTTAGGGGGGGAAGGCTGGAAGGAAATAAATACTCAATTATGAGATAATAATTTTTAATAATCAACTGTCAAAATTTTCATTCTGTATTTTCCATATAATTGCAAAGCAGCACACATTATGTTACTTTTACTTAGAGATAAAAATCTTTACCATCTCATTTTCAAATGGTGTAGATCAACCAGTTCTTGTCCCCCTTAGGGATCTGTTCTGAATGGGACACATGGCCAGTTTGTTTTGACACACTCCATTAGCTTCACAATGGAACATGTACCATGATTTATATCAGGACAAGCGTAGGAGATTTAATCAGTTTGTAACCTGTTTTATAAGGGTCCTGGTGGTGCAATGGTTATGGTGCTGGGTTGCTACCAAGGGATTGGCAGTTTGACCAATGACTGAAAATGAGTCCTGGCAATCTGCTCCCAGAGATAACCACCCCAAACCCCTTGGGCAGTTAGTTCTATGCAGTCACAGGGGTTGCAGTGAGTTGGAATCTACTTGTCAGCACACCCAGCCATTTAGACTTACCAAACAGTAAACTTTTTTTTTTAAAAGCACTCTTTAAAATTAGCAAAACAAGTTTGAGTTGCATATCCTAGCCTATTTTCTAGGCTTAGCCAACATTTTAAACTGTCCAATGGGTATGTACAATTTTTCAACCCCAAAGGGGAACCCGTGGATGGTTCTACTTCCTCGACTGTACCATTTGTCTGTTCCCTCTGTAGAAGCTCTAAAACATCACCATCTCTCCAAAGTCAAGATGCATACTCAAAAGGGGGAACACAGAGCTACCTAAATTACGGCCCAGCAATGCTACTCAGCTATCTTATCTACCCAGGAGAGAGAAATGAAAATACACTACCCACACAAAAATGCAAACAAGGGTGTTACATCAAAAAGTGGAAACAAACATGCTCACCAAAGGATAAATGCTTAAATACAACAGAGCAAATCCATGCAACAGAATATTACGCAGTCATTAAATTTAACAACCTGGGGTGTTTAAATCACTGATGTGCCCCATTTTTTTTGCCCCTAAAAAGAAAGGAGGTGGGGAGCCCGCACACACTCCAATCTTCCTCTAGAATCTGTAAAATCGAAAGTCATTCAATAACCAGAATTGTGAAACATGAAAATATTGTACACACCCCAAAAGGAAAAGTGCAATTCGGTACAAAGATCACAAGGGAACTTTTGGAAACAAAGTCTAAATTCCTTTAAGCAATTCAGTAATTTGGTGAAATTTTCCCAAGTAGCCAATGATCCCCTTGCAATTCTTAGCTCGTCCCCTGCTCCCTGGTAGAGGCCACTCCCCCCGAAGTGCCAATATATCCACAAGACAGAGGGTGTCCACAAGACAGCAGGGTCCACCTTCCAGCCTAAGCAAATTTCCTTAGTCTACTTGCAAGGATTCTAGCAAAAGGCAGAAACGAGAGCTCATCTTCTACCTACCACCACCAGTCATCACAGGACCATTTACTGCAGAGTCTGAGCTGTAACTAAGGACAGGGGTATTGTGGATAACAGGTAAGGAGGCCGGTTCTCTTCTCAATCTGGTCAACAGAACCATCTGCATGGTTTATCAGTGCCTGCTGCAAGTTTGGAAGGAGAGCAAGGTTGTTATCTAAAATGCCTCCCTCATTGGGTGGAAAGATAACCCCCACCCAAATTAAACCGAAAAGAATGTCTTGTAAAATTACAAAATTGACAAGGTCATAAAACAGACCGTGCTGTCTAAAACCTGCGTGAAATTGAAAACATATTCATAAGTCCTTTGGAGGACTTCTTTCTTTACAACTTCCAAGGACCACTCTAAGGACTCCCAATTTTGGGAACTTCACAGCTCCATTCATAAAAATCTCCCAAGCCATTGTCCTAGCACTTAAGAGTCACCGGCTTAAACACACAAAGCACCTTGGTGGTGGTGTTTTGGGGTTTTGTTTTGTTTTTAACGATGGTAGCAGACTCCTCTCCAACATGAGGAAAGACATTTGGATTCTTCGGAGGCAGACACTCCAAGAGGCCACTTCTTGCATCCAACTCATGCCCAGAAAGGTACTCAAGGACCAGGCGCCACAACCCCACCAGGCTGCAGCAGGCACACACGAATAAACAAACAAATAAGGCAAAGACAAAGCGTGGTCCAGAGTGGGAGAGAGAGGTCAGCCGCAAGGCACATGACTCATGCCCCGGCAGAAGTATTTACACCGTCCACTACACCACAGTGGGAATTCCCGGTACGTCCAAGGCTGGACCTCTGGGGCATCGCACTTGGGTGAAGTTGTGCTATTTCCGTTTGGGGCAGTGTTGGAGGAGGTGGGGGGGTCATTTTATTTCGCTGAATCACACACAACTCACTCCCATCCCCACCCCAAGCCTCCACGCATACAGCACAGCAAATAGACCACATCACTGCGAAGACGCCAGCAAGCACCGACAGAGAAAAACAAAGCGCCCGGCAAGGGGCTTCGAGGCTGGGGTGGGCTGAGGTGGGCAGTGGGACAAGGGGGCCTGGCTGCCCTCCCCCAAGGTCCTGCTCCCGCCTCCCGGGGCCTGTTCCCGGGCAGCCACGCGATCCCAAGGCCCTCCCCTCCGGCCTGGGCGAGCTCTGTGCCCGGCAGAGCCCCAGCCAGGCTGACCCAGGGCAGATGGGGGCGGGGGCGCATAGCCCCAGTCCGACAGGAGGACCGGGGCGCCAGAAGGGCGCGCACTGGACATGGAGCACGTGAGCGCCCGGAACCGCCCAGGGGACGGTGGCCCAGACAGCGGGCATCTCCGGCCTCCACGCCGGCCGGCACTCACCGGACCAGGCGCGCCGCGCCGCGGGCCCAGCGTCCGCCGCTTCCTCCTCCTCCTCCTCCTCTCTTGACAAAATGGCGGCGGCAGGAAGTGCCGGGCGCC